GCCTATGTCTTTATTATTATCATTATTGTTGTTGTTGTTGTTGTTCAGGAAACACATAAAAGTTAACCAAAATATATTATTAGACATTTTTTGAGATACTTGAAAAAACAGTTGGGCTGTTATTTTAGGAAGATGACAATTTTAAGGTTTAAGAAATCTAATGCATGTAGTAATATATGCCTTGTCTTGTTTTTAGTAAGTTTTGTTTCGATTTTATTGAGACAGTATATAAAATCAAACCTTTCTAAAGTGGCCATCTTGAATGAAATGTTTCCTGTGTGTTTCTTCGCAGGGAAACCTGACCGTCACACCTCAACCCTGCAGAGATTCATGTGACTGGCTCACATGACAACAACATCCTCTGGTTGTTACCTTTTAGACATCAGTTGAATGGTGTTTCTATCTTTTTTTTATTTTTTTTTAGGTTTTCTGCCCCAAGGCAAGGCAGAAGGTTGTTTTTTTTTGTTGTTGTTTTGTTTTTTCTTCCCCTCGTCAAAAGACCCAAACTTCTCCTCGAKCCATGGACTGTAACACGACTGAAAGTAAATCCAGGTTCAAAGCCATCGCTCTGCCCCGTCGCGCAGAGGAAACACCGACCCGCTGATTATCTAGTCTTTGCACTGTCAACAAAAACAATGCAAAAACAAACTATTGGACTGCCTGAACAGCTGTTGTTTTTTTGTTTTGTTTTGTTTATTTTTTTCCTGACTGCATTATTTCTTGTCACGCAGAGGATTTGGGGGAAGTTGGGGGGGCGGGGAGACAAGTCAACTAAAGACTGGCTTTTTGTACGCCGTGAAAACAACAGTATATCCTAAACTTGACAAACACTTGGCTATATTTAGTGGGGAGGGGGAATATGGCAACAGCTGCTTTCTTCAGAGACTTTAGAGCCTGAGACTGAAGTTTTTCACCGTCATCACTTCCCATCTCCTTTTTGAACCTTCACGTCTTGTTTCAGGGATGACGTCACGTTTCTGCGAAGGGACCGCGCACACCTCAAAGGAAAATAAACACTATTCATGTTTCTGTTTTTATTTTATGTTTGTTTGTTTTTTTCTTCTTTGTAACACTCGAGTTTTATTTTCTATCATCAGGTTGGAATGCGTCCGATGCTGGTTCTGGTTCTAGTTTTTCCTCCGTGAAAATGGTCGCATCMGATTTTTCCGCTCAAACAGTGAAGCCACGCGAGCGGGCGATGAGTTCACGCTGCATCCKCTCGCATGTCGCTGGTGTTTTTAATCCGATAGCACTTCTTTCACTTTGATTGCCTCCTGTGAACAATATGAAATTGGGCTCATGAATTTTCCAGCTGTAATATAGACTTTGTGTGYGTACATGTTTGTATTTATTCAAGCATGCAAACTGTTTAGAAAAAGAGGGACCACAAAAGAAGAAGAAGAAGCCTGTTGGATCGCTTTCAGTCGTCACATTTTCAATTATGTGCATCAGTCCCTGAATGTTTCCTGCGCTTTTTATTTATTTTTTTTGCCGTCAACACTTGGATCGTCTTGCTTAAATCACAGTCGTTCATCCGGAYATCTCCTGCGTCGTCACACTTCCACAGATCGCCTCCTGACAAAGGAGTGGGTGGGATTTTTAAAACCGTTCCCTCGGCGCGTCGCTCGCTCACGTGGCTTCACCGCTTGCCTCGAACAACTGTTAGCATGTTTTYCCACTGAGAGGTAAAGGAAAAAACAAAACAAAAACAACAAAACACAGTTTACTGTGCAGTAATTTAAGCTTAGCGGCACAATAAATCTGCAGTAAATGCATGTGACGGCCGAGCTGTTGCTTTTACACAACAAACAAGAACCAGCCCGGCGCTGACAGCTGCGTTTAGATCAAAGAAAAGCAGGAAGAGGTGAAAACCTGAACATGAAAACAGTGAAGTGAGCGAACACATGACAGAGGTTTCCCCCACAGCTCACCTTTCAGCTGGCTCCTAAAACAGGTGGGCCCACGTCGTAAATTCACAGCCTGGTTAAGGTTAAATTGACACAAAAAGGCCTGTGTCAGCGTGCCCTGTTCCACCAGAGGTCTCCTCTCTTGGCTTTAAATTACAGCCCCTCTGAAACGACAGCGGTTTTAGGAGAAACTCGATCCATGTGCTTTTCACATCGAGGGCTTCTGATTGTGGGCGTTAAAGAAAAAAGGCACATTTTCTGCTCTGAGCTGGAGGCTTTCATTCAGGAAAAGATTCGAGTTCACGTCCTGATGAGGGTCGGTTCATTTAAATCCTCACACTTTCCCTAATTTGAGCTTTTACTCTCACAAGTTCTGATCATTTTAGAGTTTTTGCATTTTTCTCGCCAAGCCCCCACCCCCAATCAAACAAGCTGATTTCAACTGAAACCCCGCCCTTTTTAAATTTTATTTTTCATGATTCAGAAACTGCAGCTTTTCATTTTGAGGTTGACGGACATTCCAAGTGAAACAAGTTGCCAGTTTCTCAGCTCGTACAGAAGAGAAAAAAAAAGAAAAGAAGAGTTTTTGCAAGACGGTATATATTTTGACTTTTTGTGCGCATTTTAAAGAATGGCTGACACAAATAAGCTGAATGTGGTGGTGTGTGACTTGTACTTAATCTGTAAGGGTAATCTAGGCAGCTGTGATGTTGTCATTAAAGTCAGTGGGTTTTAGTACCAGCAGACTGCATACAGTGCATATAGTTTTATCAGACAATGGTTGTGACAAGTGCATTTGTTCTCTCTCTCTCTCTCTCTCTGTCTCTGAGAGTAGTGTTATCTCAGTAGTAAAGCGAAGCCCAGTGAAAATCATTTATTCTAAAATAAAATAAATAAAAACCAATAAAAAAAAAGTGTATGAAAAAGCCAGAAACGTCATGTTTGCTATCAACATATTGGAAAGTGCTTGGCTCTTGTATTTTGCAGGACTGTATTTGTTTCATGGTGAAGAGTATATTTATTGGCCAGCAGTTGTCTCAATTGGTGCCTAGTCCAACATTCTTCTGTGAGAACACAGAGACACTCGCTCGTTTGTCCTTTCCCTAACCCACCTCCTGCCACGCACCCCCGCCCACCCTCCGGAGTACCACTACTGGTGCTCGCAAAGGATGTTTACAATGTTTTCTTTTTTTTGTTTTTCTTTACTTTCTGTGAGAGATTCAGAGCTCTTCTCTCCTCCCCTCTCTCTTTTTCTCCTCTGTTCATGTTCCCTTCAGGAGTTTGTGTAAAGTGTACATTACCATGGTTCTTTTTTATACAATACTCTGTAACTTGCCTTTGTAAATTTGGGCTGGAAAAAAAATAAATCTTTTTATGAGACAATCTGTCCCGGCAACTGCTTTCAGTGGCTTCCTTCCTCCGTCGACRTCATAAAGATGACGGTACTATCAAGTCTGTTTACAGCTGATCCTGATGTTTTTGTCTGGCTGCGGCTTTAAAACCTATGGTGACCTTCAAAGCACTGAGTCATGCTGAAGGACAAGTTTAACTTTACAGATTAGAAACTTGGCAGAAAAAGTAAAAAGTGTTTTGTAGGTTGTAACAATGCTTCTTGGCAATAAATCTTATGACTGGCAGCACCTGGAAGTACCAGAAGCTCAAAACAAGAGTCGATAACAACAAAATAAGCAGTTTGTCTATTTTTTTACGTGCCCATCCCACATACTTGACTCTGCTGCTCATCCCACAAATGCATGTTCCTTACAAATGTGACACCATTTAAGAGAAATGAACAGGCTTTCCAACAATACAAGATTTATTGCACAGAAGCATTGTTACAACAAAGAAACAATGCAAACACACATTTACTTACTTTTTATCAGAGGTGTCAAGTAACAAAGTACAAATACTTTGTTACTTTACTTAAGTAGTAATTTTGGTTATTTATACGTTAGTGGAGTAATTATTTTTCAGCCTACTTTTTGCTTCTACTTCTTACATTTTAATTCAATTATCTGTACTTTCTACTCCTTACTTTTTAAAAATGCAAAAAGTATTTCATTTCTATTTAACTTTGACTTGTTTTTATTCCATCTTTTCATTGTTCAGAAGACAAATTAATAAATATAAATCTATCCAGACACATGGAGCCCATGGATAGAGTGAATTTGATTGTGGTTGATGAGAAGTGAAAATACAGTATATACCATTCTGACATCCTATTGGATTGAACTCACTCCATCACACCTGTGTGACACAAATCACATCACATTCCAGCAGGACAAACTGTAGCACAGGGATTCCCAACCAGGGCTACAAGTACCCCTTGGGTTACGCAAGCATATTACAGGGGTATGTGGAAAAATTTCCCAGGTGCTCAAAAAAATAAGTAAAAATAGCAATGTGGAAATCACGGATTTGACACAAAATGGAATCCAGTATAAAAAGCAGAATCTCAGAATTTGCTCATTTGGGTGAGTTTCTGATGTATTTTGGATGGTACAATGTATTTTGAACGTTGCTGTTTTCTGCACCTGTCATTACCTGGCTTACTTATTTAATTACTTATTCACTTTGAAGGCAACACTTTTGTCTTTTAATCTTTCTTTGAAAAGAATAAAATGCCTGAGAATTAAATGTTCTAGGGGGTTAAATAAATAATTTTCATTTAATAAACTGTTGTTGTACATTATAGTTTTGGAGAATCATCATTACGTKTGACTGAAGGGGTACTAGTGGTATTACAGAATGGCTTGRGGTAAACAAGTCTAAAAAGGTTGGGAACCACTGGGGTAGAAGATGTAGCCTAGAATGAAGATGACCGTGGCTGAAACAAGTAGTCCAGCCTGGCCCTTGCCTTCCCACGCAGTTCTGCTCAATTTTAGTTTCTATTAACAGGCTAAGTCTGGTCAGTTAATTCCAAAATTTTCAACATTTTAATTTAACATTATACTCATTGGGCCTCATATAAGAACCGTTCAAGTGCGTACGAGTGATTTAGGAGAATTTGTGGCATTCACCAATGTTTTCGTATTCTACGATTTTTTTCAGATACGAACAAAATTCACGAGTGTTTTAAAAGCACATTTAATGATGAATAATTTTTGCCATAATGTGCGCATTTACAGAACGTTTTGTGACCAGGAAGTGTGTGACTGCACCATGAATCATATTTTTCCCATTTCCTCAAACACACCACATTTCCAAAACAACCAATCAAAACAGTTTCTCGCTACTAAGCTTGTAAACAGAGAGCTGCCAGGCCTCAAAGTTTGGAGACGGGGGGAGCCAGGAAGCACTTTATAAAGAGAGTCAAACCATTACAAACTCATACNGAGTGATTTAGGAGAATTTGTGGCATTCACCAATGTTTTCGTATTCTAAGATTTTTTTCAGATACGAACAAAATTTACGAGTGTTTTAAAAGCACATTTAATGATGAATAATTTTTGCCATAATGTGCGCATTTACAGAACGTTTTGTGACCAGGAAGTGCGACTGCACCATGAAACCTATTTTTCCCATTTCCTCAAACACGCCACATTTCCAAAACAACCAATCAAAACAGTTTCTCGCTACTAGGCTTGTAAACAGAGAGCTGCCAGGCCTCAAAGTTTGGAGACGGGGGGAGCCAGGAAGCACTTTATAAAGAGGGTCAAACCATTAAAAACATGTACAATGGGATAAAACAGAAGTTTTACACGGTGAAATGTGACTGATGAAAATTTAGGAGCTTAATCCGACACCATTTTGACGATGAATAACGTCAGGTGACGAGTCTGACTTTTTTTCACATTGGACTCCACCGAGGAGAAATCCCGTGCATACAGCTGCTTAAATGTTCGCTACATCAGAACTTATTCGGCAAATGTGTTTCCATCTCTGCTTTTGCGCATTTCCTCTTACAGGATGGGGGAAATTGGTCTTGGCGGAGGTTTGCCCTCTCAGTGTGCTTCTAGTTTTATTTGATTTTTTTAATTAATTAAATGGTGCATGAGGACATCACTTCATCTGTAAATAGATGTTTTCTTTTCATCCACTTGTTTATTTACTTAACTCTAGTTCTTTACAGAGGTACAATACACTGTCAGGGTTTAAGAATTTGGGCTGAAAATGATGGAAAAATCAGCAAAGGTTTAACTCAGAAAACCTGAAAAACTTTTGGCCAAAACCACTTTCCTGTCTGATTTAAAGCATTTGGGGGGAAAAAAGCAAACCTGAATGTTCTGCAGGGTGTTTGGTCACATGTGACCACAGGAGAGCAGTGTCTCTGCTGAGACCACCCTCTGAACTCCACTGTCTTTTCCCTCCTACAGCTGCACCTGAGAGCAGGACACTGATTATTTCTGCTGTCTGCTCCAACATTCATTGCATGTTGGGGGAAACACTTGTGTGTGTTCATGAAAAGGATTAGAAGAAAACYGTTCATCCTTTTAAATCTGGGTTTCCAGCTTTACTGTCAAACGCTGCTTTAAGGGATTTATCTGACCTTTTTTTCCCCTTTTTAAACTACAAAATAATGWAGGAGATTATGGTTGAACTTTTCGAGTGTTGATTTGAGTTATTGCTCATGGTTCTGTCCGGATCAAAGAGTCCCTTATGATGTAAAAATGTCTTAAATAGTAGTTTCTTCATATTTCTTCAGATTTGTGTGAATTATTTAAATGAAGGCTTTTGTTTTTAAGCTTTGAATGATTTTTACAGGAAAAAAAAAGGTTAAAAACTGTTATCCTTGTGTGTTTTAGGAGAGGCGAGCGGTCCCTCTGATGTGGCGTTCACTTGTCTCAGGCGGTTGAGGATATTTTTAACTGCGCTCCTAATGCTCCTGAACGCGTTAGGATAATGCAGCAGCAGCGACAGGGAGTGATTACGGCCAGGGATGATTTTGTTGAGTGTAAATGTGAAATCTGATTATCCTCCACGCTCGCAGGGAGGAGGAGGAGGAGGGATTCGGAGGGAGGGGTTAGGATACCAAAGAGCTGAGCCAATGGCTTTTTCCACAGAGCAGCTGGCTGGCATCAGGACATAGGACGCTGAGGAAGGACACCCGAAGGACGGCTCTCGCTCCTCGCAGGACGCGGGGGGCGACTTCCAGGAGGTGTTCATGGGATGCACTATCTACGCTGCCAGCCCTAAGGCCCTGCCTGCCGACGAGGCCCGAGGCCAGGACAGGTACTACCAGCTGCCCCACTGCAGCCATGCTTATGGCAACTGCAGCCAGAGGATAGCAGCCTACAGAGCCAGGTCAGTGAACGCAGCACCAGGAGTGCACTGAGGGGAGGGGGTGCTTTAGGTGGGCACACTGATCAAATCAAGACTGCAACAGATATCTGTGTTTTAAAGGTAAAATAAATGTCAACAGAAAAACCAACTGGTCCAATAATGAGAAAACCTTTTTTTTTACATCAGCTGGCAGTCGTTGGCTTCACTGTTTTTATTTATTTATTCATTTTCTGTCATAAAGGAAAAGAGCAGAGAGATGATGAGATGTGATTTCAAACCTCACATCAGTACAGGTCACTGCTGTGTCAGCAGCTTTTCATGAAATATTTCTGCACCGCAGCCGAGCGCGTTCTGTGTAAAGGACCTAGAATTAACAATAAATCTTAATATTATTAAATGCTAACGTTAAAGCTCACTCCTCTGCTCACAGCGGTGATTTCACAGGTTTTCCCAATAATGTGCAGCTCTGAGCTCTCATGAGTTTTTGTTTTGTAATAAAGCTTCATTTTACCTTTCAGATTTATTTCTATCAAGTGTTTAAAGTGTAATATATTTGTCTCATAGCTCTGCTCAGCTTTAATATTTACACTGTGAGTTCTGACTGTCACACTGAAGTGGAGTGGAGCTTCTCTGAAAGAAAAAAAAAGTCTTAATGAAAGCTGTAGCTCACACACGTGAGAAAATATACACTTCACTTTGAATTGAATTGATGCMTTTGGGCCAAAGCTTACAGGGAATAATGTGTAATTATGTTGTAATTTATTCACCAGGTGTCTTTATGTCTCAAAGTGTTTTGAGATTTACTTTTTTTTTTAAATCAGGATGTCACATTCTGTTGATCTATTAGTGACACTCCATAAAACCACAGGTTCTGGTGTTTGAACTGTAAACATGTAGATGTCGTTTATAAAAAGCTCATTTTTTAATGTTTTTGAAACTACATTATAGGATATAAAAAAAACTTTTAAAATAAGGCTTAAATAAAATCCTGTATTTTAACTGTTTGCTAAGTTTGTGCCTCTAAATAATACTGTTGACCCTCTTTCAAGATTCATTTAAAGATGATGATGATGAAGATGTTGTAACAGCATCAATTAACTTGAACTGTCATTATTTATATTTAGTGCAAGTATTTTTACTGGTATAATCTTTTAAACTAGCCTCTGTTTCAGTGGAATCCATTAGTTCATTACGTCATGTTGTTTTTGCTGTTTATTTTTCATTTATTAACATCTCATACGGCATTCTGACATCATGAAGA